AATATGAATTAAAATAAATACAATTATATCGGCTTTATATCGGCCATCCTGCTTTCCAAGATATCGGCATCGGTATCGGCTGTCAAAAAACCCATATCGGTCGACCACTACACCATATTGACTTACGGTCTTAAATATGTCCAGCGCTTTTTTTAAAAGTCTGGTCCCTGTTTTTATACAGTCTGTGGTCTAGTCCAGCGTTTATCGGGTTGTGCGTCAGTATTAATGGTCCGTGGGGAAACACGGTGTCCGTGTGAAGTTACAGTAAATGGACAAAACGAAGCCACGAGGCAAATAATTTCCCTCGATGATTTTTTGTATTCGAGTTACTCGAGGTATTCGAGGAATCGTTTCAGCCCTACTTTAACTCTATGATGGTTAAACTTAACAGTTAATCCGCGAATCACATGCGTGCCGAACCGTGCAGCCTGATCCGTATGGATCACCTACGATCCGTTGCACCCCTAACATTAACAAATCTTTACAGACAGACAATGTTGTCAAAATCCCTTTGTCATTTATTGGATAAAGAAAAGATTTTCTCATCTGGTAATGTCAAAATGAAGCTGCTTTCAAGAGTCAAAACAATACCAGACAACACCAGACGTGTTCTTTCCAGCTTGTCTGTGCAAAAAAGCATGACTGTCCTTCACTGGAAGCCTCCTGTATTGATCAAGATCTCTGCTGTTAAAACTGTTCACACGACAGAAGGTTCCTCCTTCCTGGTGCAGGTTTCCAGTTTAATTCTCTAAAGGTGACATTCTCACACACTAATCAAGTTCCCACCTGCTAGACAAATTGTTGGTTGGGGTTTTAATGCCATACCAGCTTCCTTGGCTATTTTCATGGTGATTAACAAGTTTAAATGACATAAAAGAGCCATTTAAAACATTAATAGGATTTTTACATTTTGTTTTAGATAAAAACTCAAAAATGGATTCAGAGTTGACTCATTTAAAAAAACAAAAACAAATGGAAAGTGTAAGCTGGCTAATATAATTAGACCAGGACAATTAAATAAAAAATGTTGATGCTGGATTCTATTATGAAGAGCATATAAGTGGATGGATCTTCTTTTGATCACAAAAACATTTGTGTCATATACACAGTGTTGAATGGATAATCTAATCCCAGCAATCATTAGTGACTTCTTCATACAGTATGGTTAATTTTATGCAGTTTGTTGTTGGTAAACAACAAACTCATTGCTGATGACATAAAATACTATGGTAGGTAGTTTTGAGATCTGAGGCTAGATAAATGCATTTGTTGCTAAAACACCCCACCCATAGCATTTCAAGGGATAGTTCACCCAAAAATGAAAATTCTGTCATTATGTTTTCATTCAAATCAAAGCACAAACAACGTAGAAAACGTATCCGTGTGGTGCGGCTGACACAGAACAACATACGCTGTTTGCGTTCAGTGGATACTCTCCAAAATGACGCTAGGGTGGAGACTGATTGTTGAATAAAGTCTTTTTTTTTTTTTTCGCACAAAATGTATTCTCGTAGCTTCGTAATATTACGATTTGTGTAATTTGTGTTCCGAAGATGAACGGAGGTCTTACGGGTTTAGAATGAGATGAGGGTGAGTAATTAATGACAGAATTTTCATTTTTGGGTGAACTAAACCTTTCAGAATAGCCTGTGTGAGGTTGTTTTAAATATGCTGTGCACGCCATATAAGGACGTTTATTTAGGTACATTCAACACAAAATGGTTAGAAACAGTAAATCGAATCACAGCAAGATCATTATTTCTCACAAATGACTGTCATACTCCCAGTCCCATTAGTTCTGTGTACAAAAACAGTGCTGCAAACACAGGCTGATATAGGCTAGCATTATGCAGACTTGACATGAAGTAAAATATTTGCGGTTCTGAGTGACTATTAATCTCGGAAATATTAGCCAAGGCAGGGTGACTTCTGTTTTTATTACCGAGATAAATAACTGAAAATGAGTCTACTCAACACACTGCAAGTATCAGAGTAACTGTCACAATATTAAACAACAAAAGGAATAGCATGCATCATCAAGATAATACAACGCTGAAAAAGAGGCCATTACAGACATCATCGACATTTAGAATTTGCAATCAAGTGCAATGAAAAAGAGAACTGATGAACAGGAGTTCAAACAAAAAGTGATTTATAATGGATGATCTAGAGAAGTAATTGCTGTTGCTTGCTCATGCCTTTGCAATAACTAGATTGGCTGGTAGCCTACAGCAATGCAAACCATTAAAATATTATTGAATATATAATTTTTAATCATTATAATTTATCTTACAGTAGGTTGAAAATGTGTGCCTGAAAGCCTAAACCGATTGCATTTATCAATAATTGACTACCATTGTATATCACTTAGGCATGGGTCGATTACCGGTTTCAAGGTATACCGCGATTTGAAAATTTCACAGTTTCAAAACCGCTAATATTTTCCGTTATACCGTTCCTGCGGTATGTGCTGTTTTTCATGTCTCCTCAAAGACTGAAAGTGTAGGAATCCCTCAGGTTGAGTGCAGTGTAGAGAGTAACACGACCCTCCTCCTCCTGTTGGTGCGAGCGAGCGGTCAGTCACGTGTGTGTAGGATGGCCGAACTTAAGCAGCTTCCCCTGGAGCTTACGATCGGCAACCGGCCGTTTTTTGTCTTATTGTAAGCAACTCGTCTCTGTTCTGGACTTGCACAAACTGCGTTGCAATGCAATCGTTTTCCAAAATGTCATTTATGTGAAAATATGAAGTCTGTAAATGCCCATTAACACAGGCCAGAGACGTTGAAGACGGGTGCACAGAGAAAAATACTGTAGCAGGCAGATCACTCACTGTTCATGATGCACGAACTATTGGAAGAAAATCCTCAATATTGATTTGGGGGTTTATATGAATGTGTTTCTGAGGAGAACTGACTGTCTTCAGAACTGTTTACGTGGTATTTTCTTTTAATCTCGTCTCTGTATAGTCTCTGTATACATATTAAGCAGTGTTTCAGCGCAGTGCTGCTTTGTTTATAGCAGTAACCAAGGAAACGCAGTATCTGGTGTTCCAAAAGCGCCTCCTGCTGTCAGAAAGTGAATCTGTATCTCATTCAGAGCTTCTGCTGTTTGCTTTGTTCAGGCATGTAGTATAATTTCACAAAGCTAGTCAGAACATTCTGTTTTTGCTTCAAATTGGGTTATTATTAAATCAAAAATCAAAGAAAAAATAAACAAATTCTACTGTTCCTAATATTCTGTATGTTGCTCAAAAACAAAATATATTGTGTTCAGCGGAAATTTATTTATTTTATTTTTTTTTAAATAACATATTTTAGAGCTGTAACGACAATACCGTGATACCATGATATTTTTGCTTAAGGTTATCATACCGTCAAAATCTCATACCGGCCCATGCCTAATATCACTATACAATATAATAAAAAGCAGGATGCAGTTCATATGCATATGCATTAGGGCTGCACGATTAATCGCATGCGATATTTAACTGCTCAATGTGAAAGCACGCAGGTGATGGAGATTTACCGCTGATTACAGAACCGGCTTTACTGATAAGATGCGCGTAAAATATCGCATGCGATTAATCGTGCAGCCCTAATATGCATATTAAAATTTAACTTGGGCTATAAAGTGTAAAATATGTAGTAACTGCTCCCAAAATTAAGGTGTAAAATTACACCAAAATGAATCACACCCCTTTGTCACTTCAACACAAAGGTAAACAACAGAGGAATAAAGTCAATTTTAGGCACACAAAATTTGCCCCCAAAATATTTAGTCATCACATCATTGAAAAAAAAAACTAGGCATTCAATTCACAGCTTAAGCAATAAGAGTATGTATATTAGAAAGGCTTGCAACGAGATAGAAAAAACAAGCACATGTGCCCTTTGTTAAACAAAAGATATTACTACAAAACAAATACTTATCATTCAATCAGTATGGCATATGGATTTGAAGACATTTTAACATGCAAATGGTTGCCGAACTCCATATAAGCACATCGAATCTCGTATGCACACCGATAGATCCACATTAACAAAGAATGGGATGAGAAGCGCAGTCTCAATAGGCGATCAATATTCAGCTGCAAGAGGCTGAGCTTCTTTCAGCAATGAGACGATGCTGTTTGAAAGTGATCTATTAAATAGCGATAACTACGTTAATAAGTGAACTGTATTGTCCCTGGGCCAGGTGACCATCATGAATGATGCTTTAAATAGGTATGGAGAAGAGTACAAGGTCTGCTGGCCAGTCCAGTGTGTGTTACGCAATGTCAACACTCTTGAGATGAGGAATGCAGCGCGCGTCACTGAATGCAGCTCACAACAAGGGAATACCCAGCTCGATAAACCAGGGCTTTAATCAGCAGATTACTTGTAATAACAGAGCTGTGGATCGTTAATTTATATAATGAGGAAGGTCACAATTACTATGCCCTAAAATGCTTGTTTTTATTTAGTTAACAACGCCTGCTGTTGAAAACAGTGCAGTGAAACTGGGAGGGAGTGTCATTGCAATAATATGCGCCACTGGACGTTGTCGTAAAAAAATGTGGTTAGTTGATATTTATACTGACATATTAAGAACAATACAACTTTGCCAAGTTTAAACATTTTGCTAGTTATATAAACACTAGCAGTCCATTCGACACTCATGAATGTCAAAGTAATTTTACCAATATAAACCAACATCACCCAAAACCAAGTTTGTCAATCCTGAATGCTGGAACAAACAAAACTATGCTTACCTACCAAGCAGCAAAACATTAGTGACGACAGCTATTCGAGAACGTTTTAAGTGTGTATTCTGTGTTTCACACTATTAAACACCGCCAAAAGTTGCAGACCAAACCCAACTTAGAAATATTAGCGGAGCAGTTAGTGGAATGTCAGCCAACTTCCTACGACGACAAAATAATGGCACAACCGCAGCGAGACATCGGTAAGGTCCTGACAAGAACAGATAAACGGCTCGTTTGAGGGCGTAGTTGAACTCACCCGTCCACCAGACCAGGTTTGAGTGGACTCCAGAAGAAAACCTCAGCGTGCTAATGTGGCTAACTTAGCCCACACCAGCTATCCTGGGAGGAACAGTTAGTGAGAATTCAGGAGAAATGTGTAAACAAAATCACTTCTTGTTTATTCCTTTAGACATTCGGCAGCTCGTATATTGGAGAAAAAGAGTCGGTGTATTTACAGTATCCAGGCCGTCCGAGCTGACAGTGTTTAAGGTGATGACTCACAGGGAATATAAACTAAATCAGCTGTGGCCAGTTTACAGCTAACGTTAACTCTCCACTCCCAGTCAGTCACTTCCAAAAAATGGCGGCGGGTAGTTTTCACCTCCTTCTCTTCGTGGAAAACACGGGAGAAATTTTGTAGGTAGCTCTCTAAACAACACCCAGGGCGCTCTCCGTAACCACCCGATATATGACAGCTCTTCAGTGTCGCCTCGGCCGTTAAAGTTCTTCATGCGTGGCGCGTCTGTCGTGTGGCCGGGCAGTGATTTTCATCTCTTTCTACGCTCTCTCTCCTACTGCAATCCAAACAGCACAGCGGCCGTTAACGCAAGTGTAGCAGCGATGTTCGATTCGTGAACCAATCGTTCGTTTGAATCGGATCTTTTGGATGAATCAGTTGAATCGGTCTGAACGAATCGGACTGAATCGGTCCAAGCGGATTTTAAATCAGCTATCTATCAATTGGTAATGAGACCTAATGTTAAAGCGAGAAGTAAACTACTTTAATAGCTGATTAGTGGAAATATTATGGTGCGGTCACATTAAAAATTCCACAGCCAAAAAAGGTCCATTGTCTATTCCCAATAATGTAGCGATATACATAAGGCAGATTTCACACTATAGAGACTGTGTCTGTTCCCCGAACTAGAAAATACAAAAAACTTAACAATTTAATTTATGTTCAACAAATAAAAAAACAGATGTAATACGGATAAACAAATGATAAAGCTTGGCTTATTGAATATCAGGTCCCTTTCTACGAAAGCACTTTTTGTAAATGATATGATCACTGATCATAACCTAGATGTGCTCTGTTTGACAGAAACCTGGCTAAAACCTGATGATTACATTATTTTAAATGAGTCTACCCCCCAAGATTACTGTTATAAACATGAGCCACGTCCAAAATGTAAAGGGGGAGGTGTTGCTTCAATTTATAACAATGTTTTCAGTATTTCTCAGAGGGCGGGCTTCAAGTATAACTCGTTTGAATAATGGTGCTTCATATAACATCATCCAGAGAAGCACATGTTAATGTTAAATCCCCTGTGATGTTTGTACTGGCTACTGTACTATTGTCACTTTGCATTATTGACACACTATTTTCCTAATTAATGCTGTACAGCTGCTTTGACACAATCTGTATTGTTAAAAGTGCAATATAAATAAAGGTGACTTGACTTGACTTGACTTTCAAACCAAGCATGTTTCTGCTGGTAAATATTAAGAAATCTGCATGAGTAAATCTTTCGCCCTCACGCGAAATTCCAGATTACGGGGATTCCAATTGAAAATGATAAATATTAACAATCCAGTGAAATATACAACTAGATTGTGTGTCAGTTTTATCAACAGGCATAACGTTTTTAATTTTGTACGTTTTAATTTAAAAAATATGTTTCTGAACATGCTAAAACATGCTAAAATGCATTAGCATTCACATAAAATTTAAAACGGTTCTAAATTACTCTGATTTATGATGCATGTCTATAGCAAACGGCACTGGTACGCTACTCTTACTATTAAACCTATTAAAAATATGTATGCGCCTGCTGGTGGCTTTATTGGGAATTTTTAGAGTATGAAACGCCGGGATGTCAGAGACGCATGATGTAAAATAAATAAATAAAAAGATAGCTGAATCAATATTTGAACCGGTTCAAAAGAACCGATTCGTGGGAATGATTCGGACTTCACATCACTAATGTGACGCGTTCACAACCAACTGGGCGGGGACAAAACAAGTACCAACTTTTGGAGGTGAGCTGTCTTCTTCAGTAGTAACTGCACTGCATGAGATATTACAGAATCGTCATTGTCACGGAATCTCAAAATAGGCTTAGAAAATAAAAAAAGCTCTAAACAATTAATCTATCCATGAAAAAACAGTGTGTTCCCAAATCGTCCATGTTATAAATGTAATCAATGTGCTCCAAGCTGTTAGACGTTGCTCTCTGTTTTTGCAGGAAATGTTTGGTCTTGTATAGAACAGAGTACTAGTTCAGTGTTTTTATCCTGGTGAGAGTGAGAGGCTGCAGTTGTAGTGTGCTGAGCTTCTTAGCTGATTAACATGTAACATTAGGCTTGGTTTCCACAAATAGCTCTAAGCCACACGCCCGTCACCAAATTCATATATTCCCACACTGGCCGGATAATAACCCGCTCAAAGAGTCAAACCCGAAAAGCATTGCTTTCTTTTTCTTTCTGCTTCACTGTACAATATAATGTGGCATAACAAGTAACCATACCTATGTAAAACATGCCTGGGCTGTCTCATAAATGTGACAGACAGGCAAAACTGGTTTTATGAACTTGAGATCTGTTGTGGTTGACACAGATGAGTCGGCACACATCCGTGAATATTCTATGTTGCCTACTTTATTGTTGACAGGCTTTCATTTTTTCATTGTGTTAGCTACTTGCTAAAATAAGATTAAGTGAAGATAAAGTGAAAAATAAAGCTGCATATTCGCAAACAATTTCTCTCCTAAAAATGAAGGGGAATATGACTGTCTCTTTGCAGTTTTACTTTAACTTTACAGCAATTTGTGATTCATCCTGTAGATGGAGATATTGTGAAATCTTGCTTAGTTGTGAGAAGGGTTGTTTGTTGTTTATTTATTATATAAGTGCAAGATTTCTTGCTATAGCCCTATAACTTCAACAACTTCTTTTTCTTGATTCCTTTTATATAGTATTTAATAATACAACAATATTGCACCTGAATTAAATAATTATATACAGTATTTATTTTGTATGTGTATTGTATCTGTAAGGTGGTGTTTGACAGATTGTGTTCATTAAATTTCGGTGAGCACATAGAATAAACAAGCTCTTTTTTTAGACAGCTGTTGACAGTGAATAGGTGGGTGATTGCAAACATCATATGCAGTAAAATGTGAACATTAGAGAAGTTTATGTGAATAATACTCAGGCCATTCAAGATGAGTTTGTTTTTTCATAGAAACAGATTTGGAGTAATGTAGCATGACATCACTTGCTCACCAATGGATCCTCTGCAATGAACGGGTGCCATCAGAGTCCAAACAGCTGATAAACACATCACAATAACCCACAAGTACTCCCCATGACTCCAGTCCATCAAATAACGTCTTGGGAAGTGAAAAGCTGCATGTTGCTGTGCATGTTCTGACAAAAATAAGAGTTGTTTATCCATAATATTGCTTTCTCCTATTCATTTAAATACACCAAAGTATAGGTTTGAGCGAGGTCCAAATTATTTGTATATATGGGTACACATAATATATTTCTCCTCCTTATTCTAAAGCTGCTTCAGTTGAACTTGAAGTAAATTCATAACTCAGAGAGAATAGGTATATCTTTGGGAGATCATGACAGATTTCAGAGATCTAAATAGTATTGTTTTATTTTTGCATGCAGTTCACTTCATATATTTTATAATATCATCTATAGGCCTTAACATCTTAACATTGTGCCCATTTTGATTGCATTACATTTTTTTTGAAATAAATGTATGTATAGATAAATTATGTAAAGTATGTAGGTTACTTATAAAGAGCCTAATGGAAAAATTACGTCATTACAAGTACAAAAATTACAAGGCATTCTTGCTGGTGGCAAATCTAGTAAATTTATTTGATTATTGACAGAATCTGAAATATTTCTGAATTATTTTACATCTTAATTTAAATTGAATTGAGTAACACCTGATTGAATCACAAAGCACAATTTGACCTGAAGGTCGCACTAAACTCAATTACAGGCAAATATTTTCCATAGGCATTGGTTGGAGACAACAAAAAAAAAGATAGAACAGAAAGATCTGGAACTGTTTGAGATCTCCACATTCAAACTACAATATTGGGGAGGGGGTGTGTTAAAGGTACATTTTTATGTGTTCACTTTTATGAAAAGAAAAAGCATGCAAGTATGATTTGTTTTCTGCAGCTATAAGACATCACAATGGAGAATGTCTACTGTTATTGATTCCAAATGTTTACAAACACCTCCACTGGCTATCAACTTTCTAAATAACAGCTGCTCCATATTCTTTTATCTCTGTCTACTGTGCGATTAATAGTTACTGAGATTGCAGATAGCAGTACATTAATTTCTATAGACTGAGTGCCTATAGCTATCATCTCTCATGTAACTGTCTAAACGGCTATAGAGGATGCTTATGTAGTCGTGGGATTAATTTAATAGGCTTAAAATATGTATTTTAAGCATATGTAGCCCATATATGTTTCACATAAGTTTTAACCTGTTTACATACAAAAATTATTTAACATCAAATCCACATTTGACTTCACTACAAATATGACTTACATTACAATACAGAACATTTCCTTTATTAGTCCTAGTACTATTAACTAATAATTCTGTATGTGCACTGTGATATGTTCTAATTTGGTAACTGAATAGAATATTTATTCAGCAGAAAAAGGTTATTTTGAATGTTTATTTGTATGTTCCTTCTAGATCACAGGTTGGTTTATAAAATGAACTTGCAACTTTTTAAAATGTTCACAAAAATGTTGAAAAATGATGAGCATAAATTAATTAAGTATATGCTGTGGTATAGATGTACAGCACTGTAAGCAATGTCTGTTTCTAACAACTGCAGACTCTACTGATTGTTTATGTGATGTCTTAAATATATATTCAACTCAAATCCAAGGTCACTAATGAAGTACATATGATTTCTTTTTTATTAATTGATCTCCTATTAATGGCTATTGCATAGACTATTGAACACCGTATAATAGATTGCACAAAAACAGAAGCTTTAAGCAGGTACTTAGCAGTATATTACATTCCATCCCTAATCTGGCAACCAGTGTAATCGACCCTACAAGTGATAGCACTTGCGGTCATGTCACGTGATGAGGATCACACGATTCAGCGTGACAGCAAGCGCAAAAACAATCGAAGTGTTGAGTGAAATACGACTTTCAGTCCACCTCAAGTCAGGAGTGCGAGCTGTATGGTCGTTGATAGACTTATTTTCTAATCATGAAACTGTTTAACTACTTACTGAAAGATGTCACGCACAAAATCGAATATTATTCAAGGTTCTCGCCCTCACCGATGTCAATCAAGCAATTTCTGGATTTTGGTGAGTAATGAAATATTGTGATAAAGAACCGCTACTGATGCAACAGATGGTATTTTATCAATGTAGCCTACAATTTTCTCGTGCTGAACCTGCCTTCAGTGATTTCTATTATGTCTTATGTTGAACATTTTGTTTTTTATCTCACCACATATTCCTTGTGATTAAATAAACACGTCTATATTTATACTATATATATCAACCTTGAATGTTAAGGTCAAGTGAAAGCTAAAGCTCTGTTGGCACAGCACTGCCATCAACTGAATAAAAATAGACTCTCCATTACATATCACCATGGCATAACTTAATGAACTTGGTCCAGCTTTGCAAAGCATAATACGTGCTTTTGGTGTGAATAAATGCATTATTACACAACTTATGTAACTCAAAGGAGTCCCATGTGTGGTTCTTTTATGCATAATGTCCAACATACAGTACCAGTCAAAAGTTTGGGAAGATAAAAAATATATCACCTGAATTACCTATAAAAAGCTGAATATATATTTAAATAGCCTATATAATTGTAATATATCCACATTCACTTTTTTTCATGAATGGTTAGTGGGTGCATAACTGTTACATTAAGATTTTTTGTCACTACATAATTCCCCATTTTTGTTATTTCACTTTAATGACTTCATTATTATTCTAAAATATGGAAAGTAATAATAATAATACTTTGACTGGTAGTGTTTATAATATATAATATTTCAGATGTAACATTCCTTTTTAGTGCTCTTGATTGATAATCTTTTGCAGTATACAATAGTTGTAATTCTGCTGTAGAAGTGCACACTCATGCATACATATAGACTCAACATCGGAAAACAAAGAGTCACTTGTTCTTGCCTCTTGTTTAACCAGGCAGGGAAAATGCATGTGAAAAAACCTCCTACATGTTTCTGAGGAAAGAACTGGCAGTGAGGTTGGCCAATACGATGAGGGAAGTCACCTTGTTACCCGCCAATCTTCAGAGCCAGCCATCCGTCAAACTGGTCGAGTCCTGGTGAGGAAGTCAGGTGTGATGATGAGTGTGAGCTGTGAGTAAACTGTGACTGGGTTTGGTGTACTGTGTGCATACAGTGTGCACACAGTACACCAATGTGTGCATACAAAGAACATGTAGCAGAATATAAATGTAATGAACCTTAAGTCCTGCAGTCTCTCATGTTTTTTCCCCCCATTTGTATCACCTGATGGGGTTTAGGCTCCTTGCCACTGTCACCTTTGTTCTGCTTAGTTGAGGTTCAAAAGACACTTAATATTAAGTAATATTATCCATTTTACACTTTATAACTAAATTGAATTTCTTCATAATTTATGAATTTTGCAACATCAGCATTGTTTTTGAATTGAATTTATTCAACATTGAACTGACTCAAGCTAAGTAACGACAGTGCTGTCTTCCTTTAATTAAAATTGTTTCGTTATTGATCGACTTTACAATTATTGAACTGATCTGAACCAACACTGAACTGATTTAAAATGAATAGTGACACTATTGTCTTGTGAGAGCTGCTTTACAGCAGAATTTGGATTTGCCTCATTTGATGAAGTTTGCATCATTGATTGTCACTTTTAGTACAGTGAAGCTGCTTTTAAACAATCTGTATTGTACAAAGCACTATTTAAATAAAGGTGACTTGTCTTGATCATTCCATAATTGACAAATTGTTGTATGCAAAACTGTTGTGAAGTACTTAGCACCCAAAGCTAACAAAAATAATAATAATAATAATTCAATGTAGTCAATTGCAGTGGTGGCCAAAATTATTAAAACATTAGTATTCTTACCAGCTATAAAAATGGTTTTAAGTCTGTTATTTCTGTCTTTTGCTGTAGTGTGTCAGTAGGAAATATCCAAACATTCATTTTGCCATTAATTGTAATGATCCAGTGAGATTGTTGTTTGCACAAGGAGTCTGACAACAGCCAGTGCTCCACACAGAGATCTGATCATCATCAGTCTGTCTGGAATGACATGAAGAAACAGAACAAACTGAGACAGACTAAATCCAGAAGAACTGTGGCAACGTCTCAGAGATGCTTCTAGAGCTGTGTGGAGCACTGGCTGTTGTCAGACTCCTTGTGCAAACAAAAATCTCACTGGATTATATTATTATTATTATTATTATTATTATAGATTATATAGATTGTATTATTACAATTAATAGCAAAATGAATGTTTGGAAATGTAAACTGATATTTCCTACTGGCACTACAGCAAAAGATAGAAATAACTGATTTAAAACCATTTTTAGCTGGTGAAAATACTAGTGTTCTAATCATTTTGGCCACCAGTGTATCTAGATGTTTAGTGCATACTGTCAAAGTCCCTTTCTGTATTGTTTGATACTGTGCAGAGTATACATACTGTAAACTGATGAAATAGTAAAATAAAAGTACAGCATTAATCAGAATGCTAATCCCAACATGCTGTGTTGAATGCCACGTGCAGTGTTTCGATTTAAAAATGGATTCGCATTCGCCACCTAGTGGTTCTAAGAGGAATAACAGAATAGCCATAGTTAGCACGGAAGTTAAAGATGAACGTTTTGTATGTTATATAATACAAAACTTTAATATTTTGTAACTTTTTTTTAATACATATCTTTCTGTGGTATCAGGTACAGCCAGAGCTTTGAAGAGCTGTTAGAGTACAAGACAAGAAGTCCAGAGGATCCCCGCACCCTTTATGAGTGAGTCTGCAACCTTTGCAAACACTGTCCTGTTTTTCAACAAATACAATTTTGCCAGGGAAAGTCTAAAATAATTTTCTTTTCTTTTGCTTGAAGGGATGAGCATTAAAGGAATAATTCACCCAAAAAAGAAAATTTGCTTCCACACAGGCCCTCCAAGATGTAGATTAGTTTGTTTCCTCATCGGAACAGCCTTGTTAAGTGAAGAGCTGCATGTTTCTTGGACGGACTGAGGGTTAGTACATTTTCAGCCGATTTTCGTTTTTGGGTGAACTATTCCCTTATACATGGTAATTTGAACAGAAAATGCATGTTTGTTCTATTACTTTTACCCAAATGCTCTTTTACCCCAAAACAACTTATTATTGTGGGCTTCAGCTTCCTAGAGATCCTGATTAAGATTCAGAACAGGCACAATGACGTGGTGCCCACTATGGCCCAGGGTGTCATCGAATACAAAGAGAAGTTTGGTTTTGACCCCTTCATCAGCAGCAATGTGCAGTACTTTCTTGACCGCTTCTACACCAACCGCATTTCTTTCCGCATGCTCATCAACCAGCACAGTGGGTGACATCACATTCATGTTGGATAAATGTTAAGGAATTAAATCTGATGGAAGGAATGTCTTTATATCGTTTAGAACTGGGGTCTAAGCAGCTCTCCATTCTGTTGCAGCTCTTCTGTTTGGTGACACCGCTTGTCTTGCGCAACCAAAACACATCGGAAGCATCGACCCAGCATGCAACGTTGCTGAGGTGGTGAGAGGTGAGATAAAGATACATGCACAGATACATAAAATATAAACATGTTTCTGAAGATTCTGATCTCTTATCTCAGATGCATATGAGACCGCAAAGATGCTCTGTGAGCAGTACTACATGACAGCTCCTGAACTGAAGATCGGGGAACTCAACTGTGAGACTTGTCCTTAATAACATATATCAAAATTATACTTTCTTTTAATCTATCTGTGCCTTCCTATCTTGTTTCACTCTATCTGCTAGCCAAAGCTCCAAAGAAGCCTATACAGGTGGTCTATGTGCCCTCTCATCTTTTCCACATGCTGTTTGAGCTCTTCAAGGCAAGAAAAATAGACAGTTGGCTAATTTAAAAGGAGAAAGAAGGTAACACTTTACAATAAGGTTCAATTCGTTAGCATTAATTTATGCGTCAGATACAAACAATGAAGAAATTCAACAACAACAAACAACTTTTTTTAAATAGTATTTAATAATCTAGGTTAATGCTAATTTATAAATAAACAATTATTCCTAGTTAATTGTTGTTTAATTATTATATGTTAGAAGGAAACTTAAAAAACTAAATTATTTATTCAAATATTTTGTACTCAACTTTTTTCAAGTGTACTTTCATCAAAAGGAGGCCAGTATGAATATAATTAATAATCATCAGGATTGTTATAGTAAACTAAAACTAAAATGAACCATACTAAACCATAAAAAGTTGTTTAAAATAAATAAATGTTAACTGAAATAAAATATTAAAATAAAAACTTTATTTCAGCTAGTTACAGACATTTTTTTATTTTATGCTAACTTTATGTACTAAAATAACTAACACTAAAACAGAAATAGAAATTAATTAAAACTATATTGTCGTGAGGAGAGGAGGAGTAAACTTCACCAGAAAGACTTTAATAATCAAAACAAACCAAAAGGAATACAGGGCAGGCACAACACGGGAACTCGGAGACATACTGAATGACGTAAGACCGCTCAGGATGGAACAAGGAAACCAGGAACAGAACACTCTTTAAATTCACAACTGAACGAGGGGATAATGAGACACACCTGGAATCAATGAAACACAATGGGAACAGGAAGAACCAAATATGGGCACAGAGAAACACGGGGAAAACTAGGACATGGAGCACGTGGGGGAGGAAAGCAAACACAAAACAGTCCATGGGCGTGACATATATAGACATTAAAAAACTAATGAAAATGACAAACACAAAAAATGACTATTTTTAATTAAAACAGAAAATATAAAAATAAAAACTATTTCAAATTATTCGTAAAAACTGTAATAGTGAATAAATGATACTAAAAACACTGATAATCATTCTTAATACATAACATAACTTATGTTAATTTATTATTTAAATACAAATATTAGTATATGTAGAAATTACCGTCAACTTAGATAATAGTAAATGCTATAAAAGTATTTTTCATTGGTAGTTAATTGTATCTGAAGTTAAAACGATAGATCACCCAAAAATGGAAATGTATACAGGTTTGGAATGACATGAGGGTGAGTAAATGATGACAATATTTTCATTTTTGGGTGAACTATTCCTTTAACGAATTGAACCAAAAGTGTCACCAAAACTTTGTTCATATTTTTAGGTGATCTTTAAAGTGGAACGCAATGAACTGTTTCTCAAATGATGTTTTAGGTGGACTTCTGTCAGCTATTTTCTTGCTTTTACTAACTATACATCTTCTGAGTAAGTTATATTATGTGTACATGTGCAGAATTCCATGCGGGCAACAGTGGAGCTCTATGAAAACAGCAGTGAGGGGCTTCCTCCAGTGAAAGCAATGGTTACTCTGGGAAAAGAGGATCTCTCAATAAAGGTTCCACACAAGACTATTTAGCAAAAACATGAATACTTATGGCGATTTCAAAAGCTCATAGTAACACCTGCACTTTATTAATTTGATGTTTATGTGTATTCCTAGATTAGTGACAAAGGTGGCGGTGTCCCCTTACGAAAGATCGATCGTCTCTTCAATTACATGTATTCCACTGCTCCATCACCACGTCTGGATCCTTCACAAACTGCTGTCCCACAAACTGCTGTCCCACTGGTAACTACCCATCAGACAGCACAAGTCTGTGTTTGTATACGTAGATTCATGCAGCCTGTTTATATTGTCCCTGCAGGCTGGTTTTGGCTACGGACTGCCAATCACTAGACTCTATGCACGCTACTTTCAGGGAGACTTGAGCCTGTACTCGATTGAAGGGTTTGGGACAGATGCAGTAATTCATCTTAAGGTATTTGCATTGCCGTTTTTATCTGTGAGACACTTAGATGAGAGTGAGTAATGAGGCTGATGACTGGAGTAACCCGAGCAGCGACCCACGAGATGCATCCACATATAAAGCCAACAGATGACTTTACTGTACCTACTACAGTAATAGTGGTGGAATTACAGCAGCCAAGCATTTACAGAACACTGCCAGATAAGGAACATTTATTCTAGGCCTTTATAGGCCATTTCGAACTGTCTGAAAATAATAGTTTTACATTAGTGAGAGTGTGGAGGGTGTTGGAAGAATGTTACGTGGAGTAACATTAATACAGTAGCTTGTTAGTACTGTATGATGTACCATGTGGCATTTTTTAGATTTGCTTTCGTATGCTAAATTTATGGGGGGGGTGGGTGATGCCTATAACTTTTTAAGTTTTTGGGTCAGTAAGACTTTTATTTATTTTTATTTAATTTTTTTTAAAAAGGACACATTAAATTGATCAAAATGATCAGTAAAGACACCGATAATGTTAGAAAAGTTTTCTAATAAATGCTTTGCATGAAAATGCAGTCTTTGGCATAAGAGACATCTTTCAAAAAAACCTTCGCAACCCCAAATTTTGAATTGACGTGTAAATTATTATGAAATTAAATTTACTATAAAATACTTTTCAATTATTTAGACAGATTAATATAACAACAGCGCATGGTTTTTAGTTTCAGTTTCCACCCAGTGTATTTTTTCGGTCAGATATTTTCATTTCAGTGCATTTCTAAATTCTCCTGAAGAAACATAATGCAAAAGCACTGATAGCACTTTAAGGTGAGTTTTGGATCCAGTTTAAGCACAATGGTATTATGGATTAAAGCCCATTTGTAATAGAATGTGACTCATGACTGGAGTAATATTTCAATAACATTGTGTTGCATGTGTGTATTGAGAGCATGCCTTTCAATATAGGCATTTATAATATAGATTTTTTTGTACTAGTTTCAAAATATTCCTATATTCGTATTGTACATGTCATTGTCAGTATCCATCCATCAGTATGGAAACTGTCAAGAAACATACTAGCATAATATTAAATATGTAATTAGTATCTTATATGTTCCTTATGTGATTGTATCATGTTGTATTTCACAATATGCTTCTCAGCTCATGTTATATTTAACCTAATCAGTTTATTAAAACAGTCTAATACAGGGTCAATGGTACACCCTTAATTTCAATCAAAATACATAGTGTTTAATAAAATACTCTCAAGTATGTTTATTTGCTCACAACAATGACAATTACTATAACAATAACTATTAAGTTTTAATAATCTTTCTAATTCTATGAGCATAAGTTCACATCACAGCTATAACAATAACGATAGAGAAAGCAGTGCACACTTATAATAAACAGAAAGTTGTCACACGTTGGTGTGAAATATAGTTGGCGATATTTTTCTTTTTTGGTGTGAACAGGCCTTTAAGTCGAAAGACAAGTTATGAAGTGTTCAGTTCTGTGTTTTGCGGGAATACAAAATTATGGCTTTTTAAAAATTTATTCTATAGAATTATAAAGTCAGTTTGGACTTTGAGCAGCATGCATTTGTAGATCTGTATAATGCATAAAATACAGAAAATTAAACGTAAGGGTGTCTACGTTTAAGGGCATCTACATTTCCCCTTCGTCACCCTCACTGCTGCTGACAGAGGCTCCTTTAGGCGGTGGTGAACGGAAGCGTAGCAGGGGCCAGTGGGTGACGGGCGATGTAGAGCGTCCTCTGGTGGGACTGGAGCTTGGCGATGTTCTTGGGGACTGATAGGGAGACAGAGCCTGGAGAACACGGCCACTCCTCTCCTGGATCATGTGCTACAGAGCATAAAAGAACATTAATTTGAATTGCAAAATAACACGTGTAATGCCTCAGTTTTGGTTAATGTCCTTCATTTACCCAGGCTTTATCTGGACCAAACAACTCTAGGAAGTTTCCGATGAACTCGCGAGATTTCTCTTCCCATTTGTAGATGAGGTCGTGGCTCTTCTCTTCGACACGGTGCACTAAATGTTTGGACTTCTCCTCCACCGTTCTCACCGTCTCCTTCATTCTGTCCACCTGCTCTTGTAGACGATACTTCTTCTCCTGTCAGTAAAAACAGCTAGTTCACCTAAAGATGTAAATGATGTCTTAATTTCCTCTTCCTCGTGTCATACCAGAGCCATTGTTTTTTGTTTAGTTTTTTGGAATGTCCTGGCAACTCTTCTCTGTATCATACAACCAAATGGGAGCTGGGGATGTGCTCCAAACTACCATACACTCTTAAAAATAAAAGTTCTTTATTGGCATCTATGGTTCCATGAAGAATCTTTGACATCAATTGAAACTTTTCAGTGGACAAAAGGTGTTCTTTATTGTGTTATAGTATTCACTGAAAGGTTCTTTTGGGAACCAGAAAATAAAGCAATAAGCCCCAAGAAGCCGTGGTTTACAGTGAATTTATAACAGTTAAGGGGCGTTGTTAGGCACGACTCGGGTGCCTACAACCCCCTTAGCTGTTATAAATTCACTGTAAACCACGGCTTCACAGGGCTTATTGCTTTTATAAAACGGTTATTCAATATACGTAGTAAGTTTTCACAAAATAAAACAGCAAATAAAGTGTAATGATATTAATAAAAACATTATTCTTCCGCCAAACAATGTAGTTCCTCAGAAACGGTTGTGGTTCCAACAAAGTGGTTGCCGAGCAACACACAAATGTAAACAAAGGTGTATGTTTGTAGAGTAATTTACAACAGCTTCGAACTTGGCTCAACCAATCAGAATCAAGGACCGGAGCTATCCATTTTATAATGGTTATTCTATAGTATCACTGCAAAAACCCTCTTTTGGAACCTTTATTTTTAAGAGTGTAACAGTAGTTAATGCAATTTTCATTATATTCCAAGCCTTTTGAAGCCATACAGTTTCTTTCTTACATTGATGAAGCCAACGTTGAGTTCCCGTGCTGTGTATCCTCTCTGCAGGTTACGTCTGACGTAGACGTCGTAGTTTCGAACAATACGTGTGATGAGATCAGAGGTAGAGATCCCCTCCGTTCTTTGAGTAGCCACAAACATTCCTTACAAACAGAAATTCATATTTATAACTGAGTCTTTGACTCTGTTCTATAAATGTACACTTTGGATGCTATCAAAGTCTTTACCTGCTGCTTTGATATGTTTATAGACATCTTCTGATCCAGCAGAGGTGTATGGGATATCATCATGTGCCACAAAGTCAATCTGAGGACAACAGGAAAATAAATAAACAGGTATGACACCATGACACAGGGATCCCACACTTTTTGCAGTGATCCCTTTAGTTTGGGCCTAACCCTCCTTTTTCTCTGCAAATTAATTTTGATATGAGCTGTTCTATTTTCTATAATGTCATTTGCAATTTTTGATTGTTTTGCAAGTTTATAGCAGTAAATACAAATAATAAAATAAAATATATATTTTTTTAAATTATGCTCAATGTGTAACAGGGAGGGTTATTATTTTTAACTAAAGCGAAAGCCATAAAAACATCTTCATTACATGAAATGAAATAAGCATTTAATAGTAGAAATAAACTTAAAATAGTTACTTTTTTCAGCTAGATGCCAAGGTAACGTTTTTTATTTTTATTTAGTTTAATTACTAGTTTAAGTACTAAAATGACAAAAATGCTCAACAAAATTACTTTAACTAAAATTAAAATTAAAATAGAAAATAAACATGACAAAAATACATCAAAGTATTTTTCATTTATTTTCATAAATAAAAACAGAAAATCTAAAAATAAAAACTCTTAATATATCTATAAAAACTATAATATATCAGATACTAAAATAACATACAAATGTAGCCTAAATTAAGGTTTTTCTCAGGAGTGGCTAGCTGCTATTTGAGACAAAATGTTGATTTGTAATTATTAAATTATTTAGTTGTCCTCTCATCATGCTGTAAAAAGAGTCCAGATTATGTTATTTCTTGGATGTCAAAATTTTAAAGAATTTGAAGTATAAAAGGGTTGCACACAAAATGGTTGTGGTTAAATAATAGATTTTATGTACTTAAAATTTGTATAAAATCAAATTAGAAGTTAATACTTTTATTCAGCAAGGATGCATTAAATTGATCAAAAGTGATGATAAAGACATTTATAATGTCACAAGATTTCTATTTCAAATAAATGCTGTTTTTCTGAACTTTCTATTCATCAAAGAAACTTGAAAAAATTCTACTCAGCTGTTTTCAACATAATAATAATAAGAAATGTTTTTGAGCAGCAAATCAAAATATTACTGATTTCTGAAGGATCATGTGACTGGAGTCATTAAAACATTAAAGGGGTCATATGATGCGATTTAAATTTTTAATTTCTCTTTGTTGGATGTCAAAATTTTAAAGAATGTTAAATAAAAAGCACACAAAATAGTCATGGTTAAATATGAGATTTTATGTAATTACAATTAGTACATAATCAATCATTTTATTTTATTTATACTACAATGAACTGAATATTAATTTACCCTGTGTTTTTTAAGGAATTCAGGAGTGAGGGTCCAGGGAGCATCACGGACCACCTCGTCCACATAACGACAGTGTATAAGGGCTTCATAACGTTCATCCTCTGTCATCACTGTATAGCCTTTATACTTGTGTGTCAGGGCATCACTGCATACTGAAAGAGAGACACACAAGGTATGTAGCACTCATCAGACATGGTTTAAAATAATGCCAAAAAAAAATACACAACGGCTTTTTCAGATTTTGGACACTTTTGAAGGTGATGACATAGATGTGTATGTTTTGCTGCAAAACTGGACAAGAGTGTATGTGTGCCAGTGTGACTCACCACCAACAATCAGTTGTGTGTTTGGGAACAAGTTCTTGGCCTGCATCAGAGCCCGGGCATGACCTGAATGGAAGAGGTCAAAGATTCCATCGGCATACACTCGTACGGGCCGATGAGCTGCACAAAACCAAAACAAACATACTTGCAATTTGGATTCACCAAATTCTTGGAGTTATACTTATCTGTTTCTCTTACCTGGAGTGCCACGGCGAGCCTGGGCTAAAGTCACTTTGTCATGTGGGGTGTCTGAGGCGCTGCCTGATTGTTTTGCAAAGATGGCTGGTTCTCTAAGAGCCTGTGAGAGAAATGTCTGTTATGATGCATAATAAGAAAATGATTGGCATAAAGCACATGTACTCTGTGCAAAACTGGTGTTTTGTGGAACAGAACAGGCGAAGCTGTCTGAATTGACAAAAATTTAAGTAATCAGATGTTTTAATGAAATGCTGTATAAAAATTTAATTGCAGAAGGTCCAATGAGTTCTTGGTACCTCCTTGAACGAAGTTGAAATGATTAATTGTTTTCTCAATTGTCTTCTATCTGAAGTGTGATAAGAGACACTGAACATAAGCACTCTGTAAATATGCTGGTGTTCGATAAACATGCATGAATGAGTGTGTGCATGAACTCCCAATAATCTATGATGTTGTAATTGCTCTTTGAACCATCAGCTGTTCAGGAGGGAAGCCCTCAGAGGGCCACAGATATAGACAGTAATTGCACCACACCACTGCTTGATAACTCAAATGGTGGATATGAAGTATGAGTTGCATATAAAACAAATAATAATTGCCATGAGGAAGGCATTGGGCTTGGAATCTGTACCATGCACTCAGATAAGAAACTCCAGAGGTTACGTAAGAGAAATACCAATGATGGAAAGCCATGTGCTGTTCTTTTTGTTTCATATCATTTCCATCCTCAGTGTATTTTAAAGCATTCATGGGTGATTAAACAACTCTATATTATACTGATGCAAATCTTTGTCTGGATGGGTCTGTACAGATATGCATATTTTTAAATTTCTTAATATAAAATCGACATATATCACTGTAGTTATATTCTTAATATTTACTTTTTAATAGTATATTCTTAATAGTAACTATTTTAGAAAGGGCAGGAAAATCCATGATTCAGAGCCAAACAGACGCTGCACTGTCAAATTCTGAAATTATAAAATTGTTCGTTGTTCAAACTAACCTTAATTGGTGGCCGTTTGCGCTGCTGCTGTGTTTGAACTCCTCCTCGACCAGCACGACCATTAGCACGGGACCCATTTCGCCTCCTGTTCACCATGGTAGAGATTTTAGTTTACCGTCCCGTGCTTTTGGCTTTGCACTGGTTGCACTCGCCAGATGTGTCTCAAGCCTTTGCTTTTACTCCTGTACTGATAGCTGGCCAGTCATACTGACCCTTGTGACGGGGCAAAAGAGCAAAGGTTGGTTTTTCATGTTACTTAAATACTTTGTAGGCCCAATCAAATGTATTATTTAAAAAATATTGTATGCTATGTTCTTTCTATTTATCCTTGTGAAGACTAAATTGCCATGGGTTCCCTTCAGATTGTCCTATGGGATTTTGTAATGTTTTTTTTTTGTTTGTTTTTTTTACAAATAATACAAAGTCTGTGGTTAACATAAATTGATAATACTTGGGTGTTTTGTTTTACAATGTAAACTGCACAAACTCACACCCCTTATGTAGTTACTTATTACAAACATATGTTTTAAAAAATAAACATAACTGCTTCACATTTTGTGTTTTCAGTATTTTGTAGGTGTGTGTAATTCAAGTTGTAGAGCAAAATGTCCAAGTATTGTCAGTTGATATTTACCACAGACCTTGTTTTACTCATAAATTGAAAACCCCATAGGAAAATGGCTCTGACAAATAGGACAATTAGTCTTTGGTTTTGATGTCATGGCTGCAGCACTATATTGAGCTCCAAATTTAACACATCCCCTACCACTCCCGCTGCAAGAAATTACATAATTTTAAAATTGTGCATCTATTCTAATGAATCTATTGACCCACATTTTAGAGAGGGTTATCTTGATTAAAGCAGTCAAATAACCATGATCCCGACTGATGGGTTACTGCTGCTTGCATTGGCCTCTCAGTTCAGCCAGTGAACTCTGAGTTTAACGCGGGCCCTATCAACTCATAAAATGTTGATCAGGTAAAAGAGTAGAGTCATATGCAGATGCCCAATAAAAAAAAGCGTTCCTTGGAGCTAGAGTGGGAGGAGTGCAAAAGATTAAATCTGCCATTAATTAATGGTTCATGGTAATGGTAATCAAACTCCTGCTGGATTAGTGTTTGTGGTTGGGTTGTGGGTAGAAATCCACAAGTTGGTAATAGCCTATATGTACAGGTGCATCTCAATAAATTAGAATGTCGTGGAAAAGTTCATTTATTTCAGTAATTCAACTCAAATTGTGAAACTCGTGTATTAAATAAATTCAATGCACACAGACTGAAGTAGTTTAAGTCTTTGGTTCTTTTAATTGTGATGATTTTGGCTCACATTTAACAAAAAC